TTAATTTGGAGGTCGTTCATTCAATATTAATGATAAAAATGTGGACTGAACTTTCTTTGAGTGTCATTTTGGAATCCAAGATGAATCTGCATTGAACTGGGTTTCATGCAATAATACATCATACTTTAATCAAGGTTGAGTGTCTTAATGATTTAAGTGAGGGTACTGAAAACAATGTATTCAAGCTTGTTGTCATTTAGGTTTACTCCTAATCCTTCAACGATGACCCCTAGTTCTAAACCCTTACACCATTGGAAACATCCTTCCTACATCTAACCTGTCTAGTCCTGTTGGAATTTTATAGGATTCTATGAGGTTCTCCCCTAATTCTTCTAAACTTCATTGAGTACAAGCCTAACCAGCTCAATCTGTCCTCACACTTCATCAGTCTTGCCATCCCAGGAATCGGTCAGAAGTCAAATGGCATCAGTGGGCAATGTTATTCGACATTCCACTCACACCATTTGTATGATCTTTTGATCTCTCTGCCCATTGATCTCTCTGCCTATAAATCCTGTGCCTGTATGCTTTTCTTCACTTCACCTGACAAAGGGGCAGCACTACGAAAGCTGGTGATTTGAAATAAACTTGTTGGACTATAACCTGGTGTTGTGTGACTTCTGACCTTGTCTACCCCAGTCCAACTCTGGCACATCCACATCATCCCAGGAAGCAATTTAGTAAACTTTCACTGCACTCCTACAGCAAGAATACCCTTCCTCAGATAAGGAGACCAACATACCATGAAGGCCAACATACTTACTTCTTTACTGCTGGCTGCACCTGTGCACTTACTTTCAGTGACTGGTGTACAAAGACACCCAGGTCTTCATATAATCATATAATCCTTACAGTGTGGAAACAGGCCCTTCAGCCCAACAAGTCCACACCAACCCTCAGAGCACCACACCCAGACCCATCCCCCTATAACCCACCTAATCTACACATCTCTGAGCACTATGGGCAATTTAGCATGGCCAATCCACCTAACCTGCCCGTCTTTGGACTGTGGGAGGAAATTGGAACACTCAGAGGAAACCCACGCTGACACGGGGAGAATGTGCAAACTCCACACAGCCCGAGGGTGGAATTGAACCCAGGTCCCTGGAGCTGTGAGGCAGCAGTGCTAACCACTGAGCCACTGTGCCACCCCCGTCTTGTTGAACATTCCCCTCTCTCAATTTGCAGCCATTCAAATAATGATCTGTCTTCCTATTTTTGCCACCAAAGTGGATAACCTTACAAAAAAAACCAAAAGAATTGCATCTGAATCTTCACTATCCAAGGTCCCAGACACACCTTCCAGGTGAAGCAATGCTTTCCCTGCACATGACTCAATCTAGCCTACTCTATTCGCTGCTCACAACGTCGTCTCCTCTACACTGGAGTAATGAAGTGCAGAATGGGTGACCACTTCACAGAACACCTGTGTTCTCTCCGCAAATCACACCCTGAGCTTCAAGCTGCCCACCACTTTGAGACACCACCGTGTTCCCTGACAAACACCTCTGTCTCAGGCTTACTGCAGTGCCCCAGTGAAGCTCTGTGCAAGCTGGAAGAACAGCACCTCATTTTCCACTTGGGAACTCCGTAGCCTTTTGGACGTAATGTTGAGTTCAACAATTTTAGGACTTAAGCACCTTTCCCCATGCTTTCCCCACCGTTATCACATGGGCTGCTACCACACACTACCCATTGTCAGCCACTAATAGTCCCATTAGCAGGTTTGAGTTCTGAGGAAGCGTTACTGGACCTGAAATGTTAACTCTGATTTTTCTTCTCAGATGCTACCAGACCTGCTGAGCTTCTCCAGCAACTTCTGTTTTTGTTCCTGATTTACAGCATCCACAGTTCTTTCGGTTTTTATTTCCCATCAGCAGCTATTCATTTCCCCAAACTGACCTTTAACCACTCCTTTGTCTGTCCAACAGGTCTTCTTCCTCTTTGGGATGTATCTCTATCTCTCATTTCCACTCTTGCCCCTCCTAGCTACCATCAGTTCTGAAGAAGGATCACTGGACCCAAGACGTTAACTCTGATATCTCTCCACAGATGCTGCCAGACCTGAGATTTTCCAGCAATTTCTGTTTTTGTTTGGATAATCTTACATTTATCCATATTATACAGCATCTGCAATGTATTTGCCACTCATGCAGTTTGTCCAAATAAAACTGCAACATCTCTGCATTCCCTTCACAGCTCACCCTTCCATCTAGCTTTATGTCATCTGTAAATTTTGAGAAATTATATGTAATTCCCTCATCTAAATCATTAACATATACACTGAATAGCTTGGGTCCTAGTATTGATCCCTGCAATGCCTGACTACCATTATCTGCCAATCAGAACAAGAGACATTTATTCATATTCTTATTTTATGTTTGCTAATCAATTTTCTACTCATCTCAACAATCTGCTCCCAGCACCATCCGCTTTAATTTTACACATTAATCTTTTTTATGTAGGACTTTGTCAAAAACCTTCTGGAAGTCCAAATAAACCACATGGACTGGCTCCCCCGATGAACTCCACCAGTTACATACTTGAAGAATTTCAGTAGATTTGTTAAACATGGAATTCTCTTTTCTAAATCCATGCTGACTGTATCTGAGGAAGGGTCACCAGACCCGAAACGTTAACTCTGTTTTCTCCTCCACAGATCCTGCCAGACCTGCTGAGCTTTTCCAGCAACTTTGTTTTTGTTCCTCACTGTATCTGATCCATGCATTGTTTTCTAAGTGCTGTGCTACAAAATTCTTGATAATGTACTCTAGCATCTTCCCCCACTACTGATGTCAAATTCACTGATCAGTAATTCTCTGATTTCTTTCTACCTCTCTTTTTAAATAGTGCAATTACATTAACTACCCATCCAATCTGTAGGAAATGTTCCAGTCTGTAAACTCTTGAAAAATGACCACCAATGCATCCACTATTTCTAAGCCAGTATCTTAAGTACTTTGGGGTGTAGATTATCAGTCCCTCGGGATTTATGAGTTTTCAGTCCCATTAGTATCTCCAGCACAATTTCTCCATTAATACAGATTTTCTTCAGTTCCTCTCTGCCATTAAACCTTCTGTTTCCCATTGTTTCTGGTACATTATTCATGTCCTCCTTTTTGAAGACAGAAGCGGAGTATAAATTTAGTTTGTCAGCCATTTCTTTATTCACCATTCCAGATGTCCCCATTTCTGACAGCAAAGGATCTAGATTAGTTTTTGTCAATCTTTCTCTTTGTATGAATCTATAGTCAGTTCTTATGTTCCCTGCTAGCTTACTGTCACACTCTATTTTCCCCTTTTTAATCAATCCCTTGATCCTCCTTTAACTTCTAAACTCTTCCCAATCCTCATGTCAGTTGTTTTTCTTGGCAATTTGTATATTTTTTTTAATGTACATCTAATACTATGTAATATCCCTTGTAGGTCATGCTTCATCCACTGTTCTCCTTGCACTCTTGCACTAAACAGGAGTGAACCATTTTTGTCATTCATCCATTCATACTTTGAATGTTTGCCGTTGCCTATCCACTGTCATCCCTTTCAGTAACATTTCCCAATCCACATAGCCAATATTGAATATTGTGCAATCATCAGCGAACATTCCCACTGTTGCACTTAAGATGGAGGGAAGGTCATTGATGAAGCAGCTGAAGATGGTTGGGTTTAGGACAGTACCCTGAGGAACTACTGCAGGGATGACCTGGAGCTGAAATGACTGACCTCCAACAACTGCTACTCCAGCCATCTTCCTTGTACCAGGTATGACTCCAACCTGCAGTTCAAGAAGGCAGCTCAGCATTACCTTGTCAAGGCCAGCTAGGCATAGGCAATAAATGCTGGCCCAGCCAGTGATGCCTACATCCCTCAATTTCTTTTAAAAATAGTCAGTAGATATTTATTGGTTTCTATTATCATGATTTTCAGTTCTGTTCTTCTATTGACGATATGCAAACTCCAATCATGAAATTAGTGCATCAACCATTACACGTTTTCCTCCAATTTCATCCAGTTACTTCAGTTTTGCTACTGTTCATTGTTACCATACTTGAATGCTGTCTTGATATAAAAGACTTTCACCTCACCTCTAGAATTCAACTCTTCTGTCCATGTTTTGACCAATGAGGAGGTTATGACTGTTTAAGTTGCTAGAAATCTGTTGATACCTTCCATTACTTTAATGATGATTGAGAATAGGCTGATAGTTGGGCGGACTGAATTTATTCTGCTTTTTTGTGGACAAGACATACCTAATGCCAGTGTCATAAGTGAGCTCGAAAAGCTTGGCTAAGGGTATGGCTTGTTCTGGAACACTCATTTTCAGGATTGCAGTAATGATATTGTCAGGGCTGAAAGTCTTTGCTGTATCCAATGTCTTCAGCTGTTTCTTCATATCATGAAGAATTGAATTGGTTGAATACCTACCTGCATTGTGATGTTGAGACTTCAGAGGAGTCTGACTTAAATCATCCACTTGGCACTTCTGGATAAAGATTGTTGCAAATATGTCAGCCTTGTCTTTTGCATAAACACATCAGGCATCCCCATCATTTAGAAAGAGGATATTTTTGGACCCTGCTCCTCTGGTTTGTGGTTTGGTTGACTACTTATGATGATATCGTAGCTTTGGAAGAGCTTATGTAAGGACAATCTGTCAATCTCAGCCAGTTGATCCAACAACTTCATTCTTTCATGTAAGAGATACATACCATTTTTCAGTGATCCTTCTGAATTTCACTATGGAATGGCATAACTGGAACTTTAACTTTTGTTTTTTGGGATTCCCATCAGAGGAAAGCATTTGTCTTCGTGTACTGTAACAAATTATTTTAGTTTTTTTAAATCATTTCTATTAAATCTCTCTGCAACTTGTCCATTTAGTTAAATATTATGGCATTTCCCTAACATTTGTAACTTACTGCGTTACATTGTAATGATTTATGGCTATAAAAATAACCATTAACTACAGCTAAAATTTAAAAAAATCTTGATTTTTATAGACCTTATGGCGATGTTATGCTGCAGAGAAAACCCATAGTTCCACAGCTACTTGGAAGATGTATGTAATGCCTCCTGATTACATTTCCAAAACATCAGCAATGCCATCCAGCCCAAATGTGAGGAAACAGGTATCACTTGTTACAATTATGATTTCAATTAGCAATACAATTTATACTTACTTTGAACCATAGTTCTACATCTGTACTCTAGTTAAAACAAATATTTGAGGTAAAATTTGTCATCTATTAAATGTTATTTAACATATATACCATTTGCATACAAACAACACCAGTTGAAGTAGTCACATACGATGTCTAAAACTATGCTCCCCATGAGGTGATAAACTCAGCCTGCTCCACCTTGTTTGGGAATAAATTCCACGGATCAAATCTTTCAGGCTTATCCAAAGCTTTTAGAAGCAAAGGTGGAAGAATTTAATTTAGTAAGAAGCAAAACTCTTATCTCTTGACGGTAGGCTGAAATTTTGCTCTTAATGTGACATGGAATTTGAACACACAGATTGCCCAAAGATCATAAAGCAGGAATTTGTTGTTCCATTGGCATCAGGTCATTACCAGTACTGAAGAGAAATTAAGGTTAAACAAGGAAAACATTATATTTATGTTCATTTAAGCCTGTGGTTTACATCTGGTTGAGGAAATCTTTTGTTTGTCTGATGCTTCACTGCACAAGATACACTTTCCACTAAAGATAGTCCATTTGACTGCTCTAGTTGTCCCACTCGGTGACAACCCTCACCTTGTGACAACTTTCACCATGGTGACCTGCTGAAGATCCCAGCACAAGTGCTCAATCTATCCTGCTCAGCTTCCTCCTTCACCATCACTCTCTGCTGGAGGTTCTGTCATATTAAGTTCTCAGAATCTTTCATTGGCATTCTGTGTATACTCATTAGCACCCGAAACCACCACGATTACTTTCACATATGCAATCGTTTTAGGTAAAAATGTGCAGAAAGCTGACAGTTGTGCACCTAGAGTAACTTCAATTTTGTTTAATCTTTCTTGTCCCTGCCATTACATCTTGGTGGCGCTTCAGTAGTTGTAGCTGAATTTGAGGAAGGCTTTTGACTGCTTTTCTGCCTTTCCTCAGATATCTTTGCAGGCGTACTCTGGTGGTGCAGAGCCTAGAGGTCTGCAGCCTGCTGAGAGCCTTCTTCACAGTGCAGTTTCACCTTCCCTGGCCAGACCTGATCAAGGTGTTTGGCTTCTTGGCAGAGTGGAAGTGGTGAGTTGGGGCATTCCTAGAGTATCCAGAGATGACAATTCCTGAGTGCCTGTCTGTCACTCCTCTTCCCTGTTGGTGCTCCTTGGCATCTCCCTTAACCCATGAGGGGATGAAGAATTAAGCAGACGGTCATGGTCAGTTGGCCCCCTCTCATCCAGCCAGTGAATAAATGCATCCAAATCATCCAATGTGAAGATCCTCATCCCTGTTTAGCAGATACTGATTGTTCTGCTGGACCTGGTTCTCCACAATAGCTGCCACTTGGTCCTTGGAGACAGTCATACCTTTGCATGTTAGAACCATGATATCGGATAGAACTTGGGCTGACTACTCTGCTGTTTGCTTCAGTCTATATGTGATCTCTTGTACCTCTGTCAGATGTTCCCCTGCCAAGTCTGTGCATCTCCAACAGTTCATTAATGCGCAAGTCCAGAGGGTTATTATCTGTACTGGACTCAGCAGGGGCCTGTGCCTCTGACAGTTCTTGGAGTGTAGAGACTTCAGCTGTTTTATCTGTCTCCATCTGGGGATGTGTCAGAGCCGTACTCACCTAAATGTTGCCAGGAGCCTGTTCCGGGTAGGTTATCCATTGAGATGAAAGTCTCTGTGCTGCTAAAGGGTGAGAAGGAATGCTTTGATCTACCCTTCATCCTATTCCCAAAACCCCGTCTCCACACCTTTTGAGTATTTGGTGTTATGTGTTATGTAAAGGGAAAGGAAATGATCATTCAGGGATATTTAGGGAAAGTATTGTTTTTGTTGACCAAAAGATAAACAAAAATGTTATTTGTATATTACCTGCAAATTTGTTCTTAAGAATAAAAATAGTTGAGGTTAGAATTTTCTAAAATCAGCTGAAACTACCTATTTTAATGGAAAATTCTAACTTTTTGTGGATGTGTATCCTCCACAAGTTGCACATGAGGGTGCAGATATTATTTTATGCTTCGAGATTCGAAATTGGCTGCTTTGCAGTGCTGATTTATTTTACATTGGTTTGTAGTTTTATGATTCTCTTCAGTATATTGTCCAAATTCTAGTAATCTAGATATGACTGGGAGTAAATTCTTGACCAACATTTATTTGACTTATAATAAAGGGGTGTGTTTGTTTGAACAGGGCTGCATTCCATGCAAGCTCACTGGTTAATTACATCTCTTGGGGATGAGATGGACTGGGGAAAGGTGGATGCAATGTTTAGTTAAATGAGCTGAAGCTTTGAGTTTTTTCAGTTAACCACCACAGAGAGGTATTGACAGCAGATAGACAAATGGCCCACACCCCAGATCATCATGTCTCTTAATTATGGTTGCCTGGTGGCTACTCTACTCTAAGGAGAAAAGAAAAAAAGACAGGTTAGAGGGAAAAATGTGAAAGTCTTTGAAAGTTCACTGCTAGGTCACTTACACATATGCATTCCAAACAAGTCAATTATTACATCAAAAGACGATTAATACATGACTTGTAGGCAGCAAAAGCCATTAATGCTTTGAAGCTCCTTTTTTCCCAAAGATTTTACTGTTTCAAAACCAGTTGTCTTGTAGAATGCATAAGCCTTTCAGCAATGTGATGATGGGAAGTTAGATTGCAAAAGAGAGGATCCAGCATAGACCTTGATGTCCGTAGTGAATTGTTTATATGGCATATAAGTGCCTATAGCCTTGTCAAGACCGTGCTTTACTTAAGTGTAAAAATGAAGCTGTGCTTGAGTAGAAATCTGTTTTTCTGTGTAATGTTTGATCAATTGAAGTTTTTTTTAAAAGAAGTGATATTTTATTTTATTGTGGAAATTTCGCTGATATTTACATATGTCACTGAGATATGAAATGATAGCCACACTGTTAATTGCATCAGTATATTGAGGTACTCCTTTGTTAGACTCAGTCCATTGAAAAGTAAGTTCATATTAAGTTTTGGTGTAATTGGACATTAAGACCTGAAGTATGTCCCTCTTATAATAGTTAGCTTGTGAGAGGCTGAAGTTTGAAAATTAAGTATCACATTCCAATTTCAAGATATTCTGAGTAAGTACATTACTACTATAAAGAAAATTTCTAATGGGAGGACCCACTATATGTGGTTAACCAAAGAGGTTCAGGAAAGCATCATAGTTGAGGAAAAAACATGTAACTGCGCAAAGATGAGTGGCAGGTCAAATGATTGGTCAACATATAAAGAACAACAGACAATGACTAAAAGGTTAATCAGAAGGAAGAAATTAGACCTAAAGGAAGCTAGCTAGGAATATAAAAACCGATAACAAGAATTTCTACAGCTCTTTAAAAATGACAAGAGTAAGAAAAGTGAGTATTTTTTGTTCAGAAATTGAGAATGGGGAATTAATAGGAGATAACAAGGAAATGGTGGATGAAATCAACAAATATTTTGCTCTGTCTTCACTATAGTAGATACAAAAATGCTTCCAGTAATAGCTGCAAATATGGAGGTGGGAGGGAGAGGAAAACATGGTGAAATTATAATCACGAAGGAAGTGGAGCAAAGCAACAAGTCTCTGGGTTCTGATGGACATCCTTCTGGGGGATGCATTGGTGTTAATTTTCCAAAGTTTGTTAAATTCAGGAAAGTTCCATCTGACTGCAAAGTAGCAAACAACATACTTCTATTCAAGAAGAGAGGGAAGCAAATAAAACCAGAAACTATCGGCCAGTTAGCTTGAAATTTGTGGTGGGGATCAAATTAGAATCAAACATGATCCAAGATTATTGTGGAATATAAAAGCTTGAGGTTACACATTAGCATGGATAGGAGATTGGCTGATTGGCAGAAAATGGAGATTCTGCATAAGAGGGTCATTGTTTGGTTAGCATGATGTAACAAATGGCGTGCTGCAGGTTTCTGTGCTGAGGCTTCTTTTTTTTAGCAATTTACATCAATGACTTTGAGAGAGCAAAGGCATGGGAGCTAAATTTGCAGATAACACTAAGATAGATAGGAAAGTAGGAAGACAAAAAGAAGTAGCTGATAAGATATAGCTAGGTTGAGAATGTGGCCAAAAATCTGCCAGATGGAGTATAATGTCGGAAAATGTGAAGTTGTTACCTTTGGCAGGGAGAATGAAAAAATAGTATCACTTAAACGGAGAATAACTGCAGAATTCTGAGGTACAGAGGGATTTGGGTATTCTGATGCATGAGTCCCAAAATGTTAGCATGCAAGTACAGCATGTAATCAAGAAGGCTTATGGGATATTATGCTTTATTATGAGGGAAACAGAATGTAAATGTAAGGATGTTATGCTTCATTTTTTACGTGATATTTGTGAAATCATGTCTCAAATACAGTGTGCTATAATGTTCTCATAATTTAAAGAATGTAAATGCCCTGGAGGCAGTTTACTAGATTAATACCTGAATGAGCAGGTTGTCTTATGAGGATAACTTGGACAGACTGGACTTGTTTACACTGGAGTTTAGTTGAATGAAGGGTGTCTAAGATTCTGCGTGGTCTTGACAAGTTGGATGTGGAAAAGATGCTTCCCCTAAGGTGTCAGTCCAGAACTAGGGGCCATTATTTTAAAATTAATGTTGTCCTTTCAGGATAGAGATGAGATTTTATTTTTCTCAGAGGGTTGTGAGACTTTTGGACTGTCTGCCTTGGAAGGCAGTGGTGATGGGGTCATTGCATATTTTTAAGACAGAGGTCCGTAGATTTTGGTAGGTAGGGGAATCGAGGATTATTGGGAAGTATTGGAATTTGAAACGCAAACAGATCAGCCATGTTCTTATTGAATAATGAAGCAGATCTCACCAGCTGAATTCTCCTCCTATTCTGAATGTTTGTATGTCCAGAAATCAAACCTCCCTCATAATAATGATGATGATACATCTTAATATAATTGTGGAATTCTCCACCTTAGAAG